ATCTTTCTCTAGATTTGAGAAGTTTTGGCTGGGCATAGTGGCTCACACCTGTAATCCAAACACTTTGGAGGCCAATGCAGGCGGATCACCTGAGGGTGGGAGTTCAAGACCTGCCTGACCAACATGGTGAAACCCCGTTTTTAAAAAAAAAAAAAAAAGAAGAAGAAGAAGAAGTTTTCTGTTATCTCTTTGAAGAAGCTTTCTACTCCTTTGGCATTTTCAAGAACCTCTTGAACCCCAACAACAACCTACATAGTGTTGGCATAAAAACAAATAGCCCAATGGAGCAAAACCAAAAGCCCAGAAATATGCATCGACAGTCAACAGATTTTCAATAAATTTGCCCAGCACATAAACTAAAGAAAGAACAGTTTCTTCAATAAAAGGTGCTGGGAAAACTGGCTATCCACATGCAGAAGAATGAAACTAGACCTTTATCTCTCACCACAGGCAAAAATTAACTCAAAATGGATTACAGACTTAAATGTAAGACTCAAAATTACAAACTCAAAAAGAAAACACAGGGGGGAAGCTCTGTGATATGTGGTCTAGGCAAGGATTTTTTTTTTTTTTTTTTTGTATAAAACCTCAAAAGCACAGAAAACAAAAGCTAATGTAGACAAATGGTATTACATCAAACTCAAAAGCTTCTGCAAAAGAAACAATCAACAGGCTGCGCACAGTGGCTCACCCCTGTAATCCCAGCACCTTGGGAGGCCGAGGTGGGTAGGTCACCTGAGGTCAGGAATTCGAGTCCAGCCCGACCAATATAGTGAAACCTTGTCTCTACTAAAAATACAAAAATTAGCTGGGCATGGTAGTGAGTGCCTGTATTCCCAGCTACTGGGGAGGCTGAGACAGGAAAATTGCTCGAACCAGGGAGGCAGAGGTTCCAGTGAGTCAAAATCATGCCACTGTACTCCAGCCTGGGCAACAGAGGGAGACTTCATTTCTTTTTTTGCCACTACAAAGCAGAGGCTTCTCATCTCAATTGAAAAAAAAAAAAAGAAGAAATCAACAGAGCAAAGAGATAACCTACAGAATGGGAAATTACATTAGCAAACTATGCATCTCATAAGGGGTCATAACCCAAATATGTAAGGAACTCAAAAAACTCAGCAGCAGCAGCAGCAGCAACAACAACAAACAACAAACAAATCATCTGATTTTAAAATGGGCAAAAAACCTAAATAGACATTTCTCAAAAGACTTACAAATGGCCAGCATATATATGAAAAATGCTCAACATCATTAATCGTCAGGGAAATGCAAATCAAAACTCCAGGAAATATCATCTCAGTCCAGTAAAACTGGCTACTATCAAAAAATAAAAAGATAACAAGTATTGAAAGGTTATGGTGAAAAGGTTACCCTTACACACTGCTGGTAAAACTACCATATGATCCAGCAATCCCACTACTGGATATATATCCAAAGGAAAGAAAATCAGTATGTCAAGGAGATACCTTTACTCTTACTGCAGCAGTATTCATAATAGTCAGGCTATGGAATTAACCTGGAAGATGGAAAGCCTGGCATTTGTGACAACATGAATGAACCTGGATGACATTATGTTAAATGAAATTAGGCCGTTATAGAAAGACAAATACCACATGATCTCATGTAGAATCTAAGAAGTTTTTCTCGGCCGAGCACGGTGGCTCACACCTATAATCCTAGCACTTTGGGAGGCCAAAGCGGGTGGATCACGAGGTCAAGAGATCGAGACCATCCTGGTCAACGAGGTTAAACCCCGTCTCTACTAAAAAAAAAAAAAAGTACGGTCAGGTGCGGTGGCTCAAGCCTGTAATCCCGGCACTTTGGGAGGCCAAGGCGGGTGGATCACAAGGTCAAGAGATCAAGACCATCCTGGTCAACATGGTGAAACCCCGTCTCTACTAAAACTACAAAAAATTAGCTGGGCATGGTGGCGCGTGCCTGTAATCCCAGCTACTCAGGAGGCTGAGGCAGGAGAATTGCCTGAACCCAGGAGGTGGAGGTTGTGTGAGCCAAGACTGCGCCATTGCACTCCAACCTGGGTAACAAGAGCGAAACCCCGTCTCGAAAAAAACAAAAAAAAATACAAAAATTAGCTGGGCGTAGTGGTGTGCACCTGTAGCTGTAGTCCCAGCTACTCGGGAGGCTGAGGCAGGAGAATTGCTTGAACCCATAAGGCGGAGGTTTTGGTGAGCCAAGATCGTGCCATTGCACTCCAGTCTGGGTAACAACAGCGAAACTCCGTCTCAAAAAAAAAAAAAAAAGACGTTTTTCTCATACAAGTACAGAGTAGAATAATGGTTGCCAGTGGAGGGAGAGAGTAAGAAGGAGGAGGGGATGGTAAGAGATTGGTCAGTAAGTACAAAGCGACAGTTAGATAGGAGAAATAAGTTCTGATGGTCTATTGTATAGTAGGATGACTAGAGTTAACAATAATATACATCTCAAAATAGCTAGAAAACAGATTTTAAAATATTCTCATCACAAAAAATGATAAATGTTTGAGGTGATGGATATGGTAACTACCTTAATTTGATCACTAAATAATTTATATATGTATCTAAACATTATATTGTACCCCATAAATAAGTATAAATATTGTATGTCAGTTGTATTTCTTTTAAAAGAAGTGACTGGCTGGGCACGGTGGCTCATGACTATAATCCCAGAACTTTGGGGGGCCAAGGTGGGTCAATCATGAAGTCAGGAGTTTGAGACCATCCTGGCTAACATGGTAAAACCCATCTCTACTAAAAATGCAAAAAATTAGTTGGGCATGGTGGCACAAGCCTGTAGTTCCAGCGACTCAGGAGGCTGAGGCAGGAGAATAGCTTGATCCCAGGAGGCAGAGGTTGCAGTGAGCTGAGATTGAGCCACTGCACTCCAGCCTGGGCGACAGAGTTAGACTCTGTCTCAAAAAAAAAAAAGAAAGAGGTGACGAGGTCATGAGGGCTCTGCCCTCCCGAATAAATTAATGTTTTGGGTTTTTCAGTTTTTTTGAGACACAGTCTCATTCTGTCACCTAGGCTGGAGTACAGTGGTGTGAACATGGCTTACTGTAGCCTTGAGTGGCGTCATCTTGGTTCACTGTAACCTCCGCCTCCTGTGATCAAGGGATTCTCATGCCTCAGCCTCCCGCATAACTGGGACGACAGGCATCCAGAACCACACCTGGCTAATTCTTGTATTTTTTTTTTTTTAAGTAGAGATAGGGTATCACCTGTTGGCCAGGTTGGTCTTAAACTCCTGGCCGCAAGTGATCTGTCCACCTTGGCCTCCCAAAGAACTGGGATTACAGGCATGAACCACTGTGTCTGGCCTAATTTTTAAATTTTTTGTAGAGACAAGATTTCCCTGTTTTGCCCAGGCTGGTTTCAAACTCCTGGGCTCAAGTGATCCTCCTGCCTGAGCCTCCCAAAGTGCTTGGATTACAGGTGTGAGCCATCAAGCCCAACCTAAATTAAAGTTGTTATTGTGGTCGTGCATTAGTTATCGTGGGCTTTTGGCTTTCTTTTCTCTCCATCTCACATGCTCACTTGCCTTCCACCTTTCCACCATAAATTATCCTAACCAAACACTAGACTGTGCTGTTGGACTTCTCAGTCTCCAAAACTGTGAGCCACATAAACTTCTGGGTTTATATATACATATCAAAGAACGCACTTTAGGGTACATCTGGCAACCTGTGAGTAGCTCTGAAATTACTCAAGAAACACTGCCACACGTGACTTCATTCTGTAACCTGCTAATGCCTCTCTCTGGGAGTGCCCAGGGGCTCATTTCAAAATGAGGGCAGGGCCTGGGCTCCCCGTCTGGCTCTAAGTCCTCCACACCGAGACCCACGAGTGGTCACTTCAAGACTAATTCAACCAGCCTAAGCGGGTAACTGGAGACACCGATCTCTGATGAGGCACAGACCGTAGTCTCATCTGCCAGGAGCACCTGACTTAAGCAGCCTGGCCAGGCCTACTACCCCAGCCTCAGACTGGGTGGCCAAGTCCCCCTGTAACCTACCAGGGAGAAGGAATGGTGCTAAGCACAGGTTTCTGTTCAGAGAGTTGGGCTCTTGGAACTCCAGCAGTTTGGGTTATTTTTGTTTTTGTTTTAAAGCTCAAGTTCTACTTTGCATTTCACAAATATGGAAATGTCTTAAGAGAAACCAGAAGCATACTCTCCCTCTGGCCATTGCTCCCATTCCTGGAGGATTTGGGAGGGAAGAGCAGATACCAGCACCATCTGGAGTCAGGAGCCCAGGAGCCAAGACCAGTTGAGATGAACCCATTTGCAAAGCACTTTGCAGATCAATAAATTCGACTGATTTCAGAGCGGTCTCTAGGAAAGGCAAGCAAATGGGCCAATGAGAGATGCTGCTCATCCAACAAGCCTGGCCAAGAAGCCAGGGGCGAGGCGGCGCGAGGGACGAGTTACCTGGAGGACTCGGCGGTGAAGCTGTCGCCGTCCAGTAGCCGCATCTTGCAGAAGAGGACCCCATTGACGAAGGGTACCGAGGAGAGCTCCTCGAGCTCGAAGTCCACCTTAAACTTCTTCATCATCATCGTGAGAGCCAGGCGCCTGCCAGCAGGGCGCACTGCCAGGCGCCGCCGCCTCAGCTCTGCCGAGCCCCGGATCCGCCCAGCGCCATGGCCTCGGCCGCGAGCTACGCGCGGGGGCGCAGCCGGGGGGCGCCGCAGGCCGGCCGCAGCTGGGGCCGCCGCCGCCCCATCTCGGGCAGCCTGGGCCGGAGCGCTGCGGCAGCTGCAGCGCGGACCCCGGCCGCCCGCGAGAAATGGTCGTGCTGCAGCTCGCCTGGGGAGGTGGGCGCCCTTTCGGTGCGCAGCTCGCCACGGCCGCTGCTGCCCGTCTGAGAGCCTGGAGAGGCGAGGCTCGAGGAACCGCCGCCTAAGCGCCTCCGGGGTCCGGGGCGCCCCCAGCGGCCGCGGCCTGCAGCGCGCATGGGGGGGCGGAAGCGGGAGGGAGGACGGAGACTTGTGGGAGGGCGTGGGCTCCGCCGCGGACTCTTAACATGCGACGGCAGTTAGCGCGTAACGCTTTTCTGGGGTTGGGAAAAGACAACCTGACCGAAAAAGCTTCCTTCTACCGCCTCCTCTCCGCCTTTCTTTTCAGTTTTTGCACCGCCTCCTTTCTCCCCACCCCCTCCAGTGATTTCTTTCCTTTGGGTTTGAAAGCCATGGGTTCACAGACGCAGTTAAAATATCCTCAGCGCTGTTTTGGTCAAATTGAAATCCTAAAACCAAAATTTCCTTTAGGTACTCCAATTTCACAAGCCTTCAAGTATAAAAGGAAGACAAGGTAGGAAAAAGGAAAAGGATGTGGTGAGGGCCTCTCAAGTGCCCAGGCACTGCACTGCTGCAGTGTATGGTGTATGGCCTGTCTAATTCCTGTCATCTGGTGTATGGCTTGTCTAATTCCTGTCATCTGGTGTATGGCTTGTCTAATTCCTGTCATCCAGGACAAAAGATAAAAGAGCAAAGAAGCAGTTAAAATAATACCTTCCCTTCGAATATTTGTCTATACTGAGAACTGAAATGCTTAAAATCAAATTCTGCAGGGAGTCTGGGGTGCTGGTGCACGCCTGTAATCCCAGCTTCTCGGGAGGCTGAGGAGGGAGATTAGCCTTAGCCTGGGAGGCGGAGGCTGCAGTGATCCGAGATCACTCCACTGCACTCCATCCTGGGCAACAGAACGGGACCCAAAAAAAACAAAACAAAATCTTCAGGGTAGGCTTAAAAAAAAAAAATATCTCCCTACGTAGGTGAATAACAATTACCTGCCTTCCATAATCATGCATATATTGTTACAATTAATGTAATAAACTTGGTTACATGATGTTCATATTTTTAAACTGAGTTATTGTTCTTTTCACTCAGATTCTGTCTCAGTAATCGCTGAACGAGTTTAGTTGAAAAGATTTTCTTTATGTTTACTTATTTACTCATGCTTTCATATAAAAAATTTAAAATGGCAATCATTGGCTAGACCTAATAGCCAAAAAGCAATAACTACCCTCAAGAATTTTACAATCTAGTGAGGAAGACATGTTTAGACAGGTTATTAAAAAAACAAAACCTATGTAGAACTCAGAGAAACAATTGAAGTTAATCAGTTTTCTGAATTTCACAGGATGAAAATGATTTAGGACAAAGTGGGATTAAGGTGTTCCAGGAGGAGGTGACAGAATAAATCAATAAATAAATAGATAAAGACTCAGAGGCAGGTTCAGGGGTGGGGATTTGGTAATGGATAAACCTCCTTACCCTGCTGGACAGGGGGCAAAGACAGTGAGATGCATTAGAGGACTTTGAGGTTTGTCTTTTAGGGCACTGGATGAATGTTAATTTCATTGACTGAACATTGAAAGCAGGAGGAGAGCAGGTTGGGAATGGAAGACATAATGGGTCTTTATGGGAGTTGCTTTCAGTACATACAGGGAGAGCGAGGCAGCCTTAGCTCCTAAAAACACATTGGGAATTAAAAATCTACATCTGGGAATTGAGGTAATTGCTGATGGCTGAAGCCCAAAAGGTGGATAAGGATGAGTTACTCTGAAGAATCTTTAAAGGGTAGACAAAGAGGAGATCATGAAGGTGGCTAAGAACAAGCAGTCCGAGAAAGAGGAGATAAAGAGATGGCCTGGAAATCCAGAGAGTTTTAGTCATGTAACATTCGTAGTCACAAGGTTCTGTTGTATACCAGGCACTATCCTGGGTACTAGAGATGCAAATGAGTAAGACATAGAGACTTATAAAGGAGTGGAGAAAAAACAGATATGCAAACAGATCAGCTAAAGTGTGTGTGTGTGTGTGTGTGTGTGTGTGTGTGTGTGTGAGAGAGAGAGAGAGAGAGAGAGAGGGGAGAGAGCAATCCGTGATGCATGCAGGACAAAAAGGACCATTTCAAGAGAGTGCTGCAGAGCACTCTCAGAGGATTTGGACTGAAAAGAAGCTACTGCATTGAAGGTCTAGGAGGTCATTGGTAATCTTGGCAAGAGAAGTTGTCATAAAAGATAGTAACAAAGTAAGATGAAAACGGTCTAGGAAGTGAATGGAAGGTAGTAATGAGAGGTGGGTAAATATAAATTACATTTTTATTAATATTTTTCTGATTTTTTTTGTCAGTGAATGAAAAGAGAGAGAATGATGACCAGAGGAAGACAGTTCAAGCTTTTTCAATAACATTCAGGAACTGTCCAGTATTGATTATCTATTATGTGCCAAGCACCTTGATAGGTCCTATAGATCTGAGATGCAGTGCCTGTCTTACCTCTCACAGTCTACTGGAGGACATAGAGAAGTAAGCAGGCAGTTGCAATACAATGTAGCACTGAGTGCCATCTGTATATGGTGGTGAATGGAGGCTGCTGTAGGAGAATATACAAACGTCTAACAGGGATAAATAATAGGTTTATGGAATGCTTTCTGGGGCAAGTGAAGCCTGAATTCAGGCCTTTGAGCTGAGGTCTGAATGATGAGCACGGGTGGGGAACAGTTTCCAGGAAAGAGGTAGTGCCTGTGCAGAGGCTCAGAGGAAGAGAGACCATGTTGCAGAGGGAACTGAAATTAGTTCTGTCTAGTTGCAACTTAGAGTCGGGTATAGTGACAGGGGTTAACAAAGAGCCACTGAAATTTTAAAGCAGAGGAATGATATATTCAGATTTGCATTTGATAAAGCTCTTCTGCTTTATAAGATGGAAGGCAGTCTGTTACTCTTTTTTAGACTCATGGTTTGATGATTAAACACCTGATAGGAGTCATGGTCAAGGCAGGAAACATATATTCAATGTGTTTAAATGAGGAAAGTTCAATGAAAGGACTCTTCACAGAGTTGACAGGGTAAGGGACCCACAATCTAGTGAGAAGTTGAAAGGAAGAGGGAACAGATATCCTGATTTCTCTCACCTCCTACTTTCTGATCTCTTGGTGGTGCCTCCCATGTTCCAAAACCAATCAAGGCCAGAGGGTAGAGGGTCCCAGAACATGCAGTTCATAGAGGACAGACTCTTGGGGCACAAAGTAGGGCACTGAAAAGTATAGAATGGATGGAAGAGGACGGAAAGCCACCAGCACACAAATGATACAGTCAGGGTTCACTGTAGGAAGCCAAAACCACTCTAGATATTTCAAAAAAACAAAGGGATTTCATCCAGGCAATTCGTTGCTTCTGAAATCCATAGAAGGGCTGCAGGAGTTGAGGTGAACAGCCTGCTGAATTCAAAGTCACATGCCTTGTGGCAAACATTACTAGTGTCCACTAGTATCTGGTCCTCCTTTGCTTCTGAGCATGTGGAAATTTACTGTTCCCAGTTCCCTTACAGGTGAATGGGGCCTCGTGATGAGTTGTAACCAATAAAATGTGAGAAGTGTCACTACCAGGATGAGATAGTGAAAAGCCTTTGAGCAGTTCTCTAGACTATCTCTTCCCTGCCACAATTATCATGCAGGAGACCTTGGGTTAAGATGTAGCAGCCACAAGATTGAAGTAGCCCAGATCTCTGAGTCACCACATGGAAAGCAACTGCCTACACCTGCAGGAAACATTTTTGTATGTGAGAAGGAAACTTTTTTATATTAAGCCACTGAGATTTTGGGGGCTGCTTGTCACTACAGCATAAGGCTAGCTTATTCTGACTAACATACACTCTAGCTGGGATGGGACGCTGACACTAAAACATGCTGCTGCTGCTGCCACCACCGCTGGCTCTCACACCCATCAAGATTATGAGGAGTTTGAATGACACAGACATGTCATCAGACCTTGCTTGCAAGTGACTCAGCAGCAAGAAGAGAGCCTCCATTTCACTTGCACCTGTGTTTTCATAAGGACATTTATTTGACAGGCCTCATATGCAACTAAAACTTGAGTGTCAAGGGAGTCTGAGAAATGTAATTTTCAGTTTTCCAACTGAAAAGTGGTGGAATGAATAGGATGGTGGAATGTATGTTGACACAGCAGGTCTAATCATCTACTCCAGTACTTATAATGCAAGTTTCTTAAAGATGGGTGATTCACTGATCATCTTTGTATCTTTTCCAAATATTCCAATACCTAGTGTGTATTCAATACCTATTTTTTGAAATGATCTGAATTTATAGACCTATCCTTTGTGTTTTAACTCTCAGGTAAAACGAGAGTGAATAGACGTATGCTAAGACTGCTTGCTGCCAGAGGTGTGACAGTTCTTACAGGCTTATTCAATTCTCTTGAAAAGCATTTACTACACCTTAAAACTGTGTACACTCCTCCCTTTACCTCTCCCTATGAAGAGGATATTTAAGTCTCAACCCTCTGGTCTTTCTTTGAGTCTCATATTTGCACTACTACTCTGTCCATGTGCATTAATAAATTTGTATGCATTTTCTCCTGTGAATTTATTGTCAGTTATTTCGGCAAACCTTCAGAAGGCAGAGGGGAAGCTTTCCTATCAACCTTCTACCTGCAGAAATTTGGAAAAAAGGTAAGGTACCTACAAAACCCACAGTTCTAGAAGAGGTTGGAAAATGGAATGTTAGTAGGTTATATTTATTGGCTGAATTCAGTAAGATCTTAGAAACATGAGATGAACTCATGCAATAATTAGCAGGTTTGCAAGCATAAATGAAAAGGAATATAGAGAGAGTCCAGAAATTTGGAACCTCAAAAGATTGGAAAACCTAAAACTGCTCTATACTTCAATGAATAGGAAATAAGATTGAAAAAGTTCTTGAGCAACAAGGGCCCATTAAGACTCAGCCATGAAGCAATGATTTTATTTAGGATGTGGTCTTCACATTTAAGTCTGATGGTCCCAAAGTAGCCTTCTTAAATTGAGAGAAAGAGAGGCATGGAGTGAAGAAGGGTGTGAGTGAGGGAAGATATTTTATTAGTTCATAGGCCACAGCTTTAATTAAAATGTTAGACCGGACAATTCTTTGTAGTGGGGCTGTCCTTTGTATTGTACAAGGTTTAGCAGCTTCCCTGGCCCCTACTCATTAATTGCCCCTCACTCCCAGTTGTATTAATCAAAAATATCTTCAGACATTGCCTAATATCTCCTGGGGGACAAAATCATTCTTAGTTGAGAATAACTGGGTCACAGGACAATGTGGAATTATATTCAGATCTGATGGAGAATCCTGTGTATTACGTGGGAATCCTGTACTTTGAACTTGATGCAATGACTGGGTAGATTTTAGGTTATCTCATTTGGTGACAGAATGAATGTATTATTTGTTTGGGAAGAAGAGTGAAATGGCTTTTCTTGGTGACCAAATGGATGGACTATGGCATAGATTACTAGGTTATCACCAAAGCCGTTTTCTTGAGTACACAGTTCGACTCTATTTTCCGGTCTTTCTTGCAATCAGGTGCTGCTGCAAGGCTCAGTTCCAGCCAGTGGAATGTGTGCAACTTCCAGGCCTGGCCCATAAAAACTTCTCGCATGTGATCCTTTCACTCTTCTCCCATCTGATGGCTGGATGTTGACATCAAGGATGATGCTGGATGCCAGATGCGGAAGATGGGAAAGCCTCTACCTGTCTGGGTCCCTCTTGGCAATTTATAACCAGGATATCAGTTTGTGAGGTAAGTGAAAAATTAGCATTTAATTTGCTATGTGTGGTTTTAAAAATTACTATTTTAAAAGATTGTGGAAAAATACATATGACATAAAATGATCATGTTACCCATTTTTAAGTGTACAGTTCTATGGCATTAAGTATAGTCACATTGTTGTGCAACCATCACCTCCATCCTCCTCCAGAACTCTTCTCATCTTGCAAAATTGAGATTCTGTACCCATTTCACAATAACTCTCCATTCCCCCAACCCCAGACCCTGGAAACCACTATTCTACCTTGTGTCTCTATAAATTTGACTACTCTATGAATGAAATCACACAATATTTGTCCTTCTGTAATTGGCTTATTCACTTAAATGTTTAATCTCTTAAGCCACTGGAATTTGGGATGTGTTTGCGATAACAGCTAGAATTACATACTTGTGTGCCTGGAACAGACTAGATCCTCAAATAAATGTTTGCTGAGTAAGTGAACATTCAAAAATTGTTAATTTAAAACATATTTTTAAGACACTATGTTGGATTTAATTTGTAAATTTATATTGTTTTATAATATAAAATTTGTAAGATATTGAATTTTATGTATAATATACATTTAGGTAACATTATAATTACAATAATTTAAATCAGCAGGAGTCCATGACTTTTTTTCCCCTATAGATAATTTATTTTTGAGAAACATGCTATATTGGGTTGTTTGAAAAAGCTTATGTTCTAACAAAATTGAATCAAATACTTGCTTTAATTTTCCATTGCCTAAAACCAAATTTGACTAGAGTTATTGAGGATTGATTATAAGAGAATGACATAGGAGCTTGAATAATTACATTCCCAGCCAAGCAAAAGGTTTTCATTTTACATCAAAGGAAATATGACAGTTAAAACAAACAAACAAACAAAACTCTCTTTGGTCCTGTGATTGAATAGGGATGTTACTGATACCTAAGTACTGACATTTTATCATCTTGATTACTAGTCTATCTGACAGGAGAATAAAGGCTTTCAAGGAAAGAACCAGATACTTTCTAAGGTACCTCCTTTAATTCTAAAACTTGATCTCTTTCATAACTAGTTCTTTTTTATCTAATTTTCAAATTTCTATGAAAAGATGGTAAATTGCCTTTGTAGTTCTTAAAAGCAAACACTAGACTACTTTTCTATGACAAACCACAAAATTTATTCATTAACTTTTTTCCAGTCAAAACATAGAGTGGATCAAAATGTGTTCTTTGAGCAATTGTAATATCCCTGTGAACCCTAGACTGATAGCATGCAGGGGATCTCAGACTCAATTTGGCACCCCTTCCTTGCTTCCTTCACATTCTAATGTTAGGATAGTTATGAGGATGATCACTTCTGACCTCATATAATTATTCCTGTACTATCAGGCAGAATTGGATTTCTCTTTCTGGGAAATACTAAATACTAATTTCTTGTAGAACATTAGGCTTTTTCTCTGAGAGCATTTTAGAAAATACTGATGCTGGCTGCTGCAAGGAGCAGGCGCGGGGTGGGCGCGGGGTGAGCAGGGTGCCACTGGCTGCTGGGGTCTGCAGGTCACTGAGCCCCCGGGAGAGGGGACTCCTGAGGCTGCACCTGCCTGTGTTTACCTGGCAGCCAGCGCATCCGCCCCCGCAAACTCCCGGGAGAGCTCAGGAAAGGTCGTTGGTCCCCGCGAGGGAAACAGAGCCCTTGACCATGGTTGCAACTGGCAGTTTGAACAGTAAGAACCCGGCCAGCATTTCAGAATTGCTGGACCACAGCTATCACCCAGAGAGCCTGCTAAGTGATTTTGACTACTGGGATTATGTTGTTCCTGAACCAAACCTCAACGAGGTAATATTTGAGGAATCAACTTGCCAGAATTTGGTGAAAATACTGGAGAACTGTCTGTCCCAATCAAAGCAAACCAAACTTGGTTGCTCAAAGGTCCTTGTCCCAGAGAAACTGACCCAGAGAATTGCTCAAGATGTCCTACGGCTTTCCTCCACGGAGCCCTGTGGCTTGCGAGGTTGTGTTATGCGTGTGAAGTTGGAAATTGAAAATGTATGTAAAAAGCTGGATAGGATTGTGTGTGATTGTAGCATGGTGCCTACTTTTGAGCTTACACTTGTGTTTAAGCAGGAGAACTGCTCGTGGACTAGATTCAGGGACTTCTTTAGTAGAGGTTGCTTCTCTGGTTTCAGGAGAACTCTGATTCTCAGCTCAGGATTTCGACTTGTTAAGAAAAAACTTTACTCACTGATTGAAACAACAGTCATTGAAGGGTCCTAAAAAGGGAACATTTATAAAGGTTTTTTCATGATTGGGTAGCGAAACTACTCAGCTAGTCAGCTAAAGTCATTTATAGTTTGCCCCACCTACCCTCAGTAAGAAACCCCAAATGTAGTCCATTTTCTTTTTGTGTTTCACATTCATAGCAACTGCAGCTAACAGGCTGATTTTCTGGCCTTTGGAGAAATGATCCAAAATAGTATAGTGTACGTTTTCTGCATATATCAGATTTTTGTAGAGAATTGAATGAGATGGAATAGGTAAGCAAAAGTAGAAGTCCATTTGAGTTGTACATTTGATTCCACAATTTTGTTTCAGGTAGGCTTGCTAATAGACTATATAAACCAGATTTGCCTAGTTCGATTTTCATATGGCTTTTTTTTCTGTAAGTTTTCAGAGTGATTCTTTAAATCACAGAATCTTACTAAGTGATACTTAGCCTATCAAAACTTCCAGAAGCCTACACCACCAGTTCCTGATTCAAATTTGAATGGTTCTTAGACAGGAGGGTAGGATTAAGTAGGTGAGTTTAATTAAAGCTTAACCCTAGGTAAGAGTGAATGAGAAATATTACGGCTATAATGGAACTGCTTCACTGTTTCTTGGTGACTTCCTCACGCTAATGTTTTAAAAAGGCAACAAAAGCTTGTGCTGCCATTTCAGTAACCACAGTGTTGTTTTGGATGCTTTCATAAGTTCAGTTTCCCTTGTTCTTAAGTGTTAAATATTGTTTTTAAACTAGAAAAATGCAAAATATTGAACTGAAAAAAAAAAGAAAGAAAATACTGATGCTTTCCAAAACAGTTGAGAGAATCTTTTCTCACCTGAAATTCCAAATTTGGAAAATCTTAATAATTTGTTGATTTACTTTGCTTATATAACCTGTATGTATGTGTGTGTAGAAATAGTTGGGAGGTGTTTGTTTTTATCCAATTAGCCTGCATCATCTCCTTAGAGGTGCACTCTGTCATGTTTTCTGTCATTATACTTTTTGCTTTTTTAACACCAATTTTCTAACTGTTCTTTGGTATGCACTCACATATCTGGTGATGTTGTAATTAAATATGACCTTTGTTTTCAAATAAAAAAATCCCCTTTGTTTTCTGAAAAAAGTAATTTGGATCTAAATAATTTTCAATAAACCAAAGAGGAATGCTTTAAAAAAAAAAAAACAAAGCAAACGCACATTCAACCAGAGCCTACACTATGTATTTTCTAAGTAAATTGGCACAAAACCAGAATACTGTAGTATTTTATTTAGCTAGATACCTGGAAAGCATTTTTTAAATTAGCATTATTTTTTCCTTTTATACCAGAGGTAAAGAACTTCCAAGTACATTTTCTTTTACCTGTTACATATATTTTCATAAAACATGCAAATTGATCAAGTAAGATACAAAAATAAAATTGCTTATATAACAATGATAAGACAAAGATGATGTTTCCCATAATGTCCATAAGCTCATATGGAGATTTAAGTTAAGGCTACATACTGTTAGAATTCTGAAATGAATCAGAGGTATGACTCAACAACAATGGATATTGAGCTAGGAGTTCCCAGTTTTAATCTCAGTTCTGCTTCTGATGGTTTAATTTTGAGCAAGCAAAAACTTCCCTGAACTCACTCTGTTCTGCAGAGTGAGGGAAAAGGGAAATAGTCTTGATCAACGCTGTCTAACAGAACTTTCTGCATGATGGAAATATTCTCTGCTCTGTCCAATATGGTAGTCACTAGCCACATGTGGTGACTGAACACTTGAAATGCAGTAGGTGTGACTAAAGAACTGAATTTTGCATTTTATTTAATTATAATTAAATTAAATAACCACATATGGCTAATGGCTACTATATTGGATAGCAGAGGTCTAGACTCACTCTCATTCACTCATTTAGCAAGCATTCAAGTGCCTACAATCTGCCAACCAAGCATCTGGCCAGGTGGAGAAGGTGTGTCATCACATCTTTGCCTTCAAGGAGTTAACATGAAGAAAACTAAGTACTTGCTAGTACCTGTCTTTAATAAGCATAATAAGCATACGCAAAAAGCTCTGTGTACCCATAGAGAGCGATAACCAGAAGGTATATCATCTCTAAAGTACTCTCCAGCTCTAAAATTGTATAACTATAGACATGTATGTATCTATATATCCAGAGATATATATGTCTATCTATATGTATGATATATAGGTCTAAATATATAAATGACATATACATATATAGATATGTATACATGTATATATAGCTATCTCTATATTTTAATAAATATATAGTCATATATTTATATATTACAATATTAGTAGAGGTATAGCCAATATATTTATAAATATATATCCATGTATATCCACATATATTTATATATTCAAATATATAAGTTTATATATTCAAATATATTTTTTAAATTTACATTTTATATATCTCTATATATTTATATACATATCTATCTATCTATCCCTCTATCTTTAAAATTAGAAATGGAGGTCTCACCTTATTTCCCAGGCTGGTCTTGAACTCTGGGCCTCAAGTGATTCTCTTGCCTCAGCCTCCCAAAGTGCTGGGATTAGATAGTGAACCACTATGACTGGCCAGCTCTAAAATTATATGAATTAAACTCAACAAATATTTCCTGAGCACCTATTTTCTATGTAGCTCTTTATCAGCTCAATTTCTTGGTGCATGATTACCACTCAGAGGGTAGTAGCTAAACTACTATCGGCACTCTTGTTGATTGATTCATTCAATATTTGGTTATTGTTTATGTACCAAGCACCTCACTAGGCACACATGAAAAAAAAAAAACGAATTTGATAGTGATTTCAAAGGTTCATAGTAAAACATTGACATTAACTCTATTTTTCAGGAAATACATTACCAGATTCTGGGTTCACGTTGGCCATATTCAGAATTGATGGTGTTTCAAATGTTATTTAACTATCTAGAGCCAAATCATGAGCATTTCCTAGTATTAGTAATAAAGAATGTGAGAGTAAAAAATGGGGTATGTTTGGCCATTAAAAACTATACACAAGCTTTGTAATAGAATATATTGATTGATTAAAGTAGATACTCTGATATCTTTCTTAGAAAAGATGTTTTTATATTGTTACCTAGATATAAATATGTACTCCTTTTCAATGTACTTTTTTCTTTTTTTGTGGATGTCTGGCTACAGTATCAAGTACAGTATTTTTCTATGTGTTACAGCATGTCTTCTTTTACATAAAACTGATGTGATATTGCCTATTTGTTGGATATGTACATATTTATTTTTTCAACTATTATTTATTTAGTTGACCAACTTGCAAATATTACTGTGCTATTCAATTGGAAAATACAAAAGCAAATTAGAGTAGGATCTTCTTCTCAAGAAATTGATAGGGAAAATAAGAAATAGAAGAAAGTTGAGAAAGAGGCATTTTCAAAATGTCCTTCAGAGCACTTTGGAGGTGGAAGTAGTAACTTCCAGATGAGACATTAAGAGAAGGCTTTGCAGAGGATGTGACACTGAGCTAGACCTTGGACCTTGAAGGAGTGTAGAATCTGCAACAGCAGAGAAGGAAGGAAAGGCCATTTCCCAGGCAGGAAAGCATGAAATTAGAGGGGAGAAAAATGTGAGTTAAAACAAAGGACAAAATAGCTGAGAAAAAGTAGAGGAAAATCAGATTTTAAACATAGACTGTGGCTGGATTCTACTTTTAAATGCTAGACTGGGAAGTCTAGACTCTATTTTGTAGACTGTAAGGCATTTGAGCAAGGGGATAAAAAATCAGAGTTGTGCATTAGGAAAATTAATCTGGCAGAAGTATTTAAGATATATTTTGGAGTAGGGAGAGGCTAAATGCAGGGACCAGTTATTAGGCTAGTTTTTACAGCCGTGCAGATGATAGGTTGATATGAGGCTCTGAATTAGGATACTATCAGGAGATTAGAGAGAAAGGGGCTTACGAGAGGTTATTGTAAACCTAGAATCAAAAAGACCTGGTAACTTATGTCATATAGTGATAGAATAAAGAAAAGAAGAAGTAAAAAATGACTCCAATATTATACCTCTTCATGGCAGAGAGGAGGAGGAGAAACAGATTTATATTGGTGTAGAAAATATACTCTATAAGGAAGAAAAATATTTATATTGCATTCTGGTTGAATATGTATGTATGTATGTATATACATACATATTCAACCAACTTTAACTGATGCTACTGATGAAAATGTGAAGTGCACTGGAGATACCTTCAATTTTTGCACTACAATAGCAATCTGAATATCTAGGTTACTTATAGTCAATGTTGCTTCTTTTATTATTTGAGTATATTTATATTCTCAGACTGAGGAATTAGAGAAATGCCTCTTGTAACCTTAACCTGACCTTGGTTTAGCCATGTGTCCGAGGTATATAGATTTTCTTACTGCATTCAAGATCTTTCACCAAGGAGATTCTTAAAATAGCACAAAATATCTTTAACAACAAGAAATTCCTATCCATGGATGGCCTTGATTTAAGCTTTTAGCTTCCACACTTTTAAACTCTTAAATTGAGTGTCTTTCCAGATTAAATCTGATGTGGTTAATATATTTAAAACAAATAGCCTGCAGACAACTGTCATAAAGTGAAATATAATTTCTCAGTTGGAAAGCATAATCTTTATTCAATCTTTCTAAGAAGGAACACTCAGGTTTCAGTAGAGTTGGTTAAAACAATTTTTTAAGGGTTTAACAATTGTTTTACTGGAGCATTTTCTCCAGTAGGTAGATAGGGAAGATATGTTATTACCAGTGAGTCCATAAAAGACAAAATGTCTCAAGCAGTACTTTATTCCACATCTATGGTTTTTTATTTACAATCTAAAAAGAACTACAGGGCCTGGCGCGGTGGCTCATGCCTGTAATCCCAGCACTTTGGGAGGCCGAGGCGGGTGGATCACGAAATCAAGAGATCGAGACCATCCTGGTTAACATGGTGAAACCCCGTCTCTACTAAAAATGCAAAAAAATTAGCTGGGCATGGTGGCGCGTGCCAGTAATCCCAGCTACTCAGGAGGCTGAGGCAGGAGAATTGGCTGAACCCAGGAGACAGAGGTTGCGGTGAGGCGAGATCGCACCATTGCACTCCAGCCTGGGTAAGAAGAGCGAAACTCCATCTCAAAAACAAACAAATAAATAAATAAAAAGAAAAAATAAAAAGAACTACAGTAGGAATATGCAGTAGGCCTATTTAGTATGGTAATTATAATGCTATATTTAACTTTACTATTTTTTAATTCTCCTTTATATCTTAAGAGCCATCTTTATAAAAGACAATTTTTTTGTTAGGTTGTTTGAGGGACAGGAGAGCCAAATCTTAAGGTATGTTGAGATACTCAGTCTTATTTTCTTTCTTTGGCATGCTTCAAAATACTAAGAAAACATGGGAGGTTGCTATGTGGGAACAGGAAGACTGCTGCATGCTTGGCAAGTCAGTTTGGCAAAAGAAGATTGTAGCAGAATCTCACCCTGATGGTTTTAATCCATCAGGATGCAAGCAAAGCAAGCAAGAAAAGGAGCAGAAAAACCAACACAAAACAAAATGCCAGAACAATAATTGTGGATGATAAGAAGAGGAAAATTTTCCCTGGGTGACATGTAGGAAATGAAGCTGAGATAAATGCAGAAACAACTTACTTAAAACCAAGTTTTATCAAAATTATTCAGCATTTGACTTCAATTTTTGGCTTTAATTTTAGTGCAGAAGTGATTGCTTAATCAAGCACCTTCATCTGTGGAACCCCATTTTCGAGACAAGTATATTGGTCTTGCCCTAATATGATAAGCCTGGGCTATAGCATGAATGACATTGCTGCTTCAAGATAGAAGTTGTTAGTGAGAGAGGGATATAGTGGTTTTTGTTGATTGGAGGGGGCAAGGGCAGGAGGAAAGGGCTCCATCTGTCTTTGCTGATTGTAGTGATGTTAGGTATTGAAGAATTCAGATGTGCTTTAATTTACCCTGTAGGTGTATTCCTGAAAAGTCATATATAAACTGATTTTTTTTTTTTTTGCTTGTTAAACAAATCTGAATGGCTATATCATATTTTCAGAATTCTTTTTATTTCATATTGATTTGTAATTGAAAGTGGTTTTTAATACTTTTGTTCTAAGTTTCTGTGCTACTTCTTACCTGTCATGCAATTAAGGCAGGCCTGCTTTGTAAATCCCAATACATATTTATAGGTTACGATTTTTAAAATTCCTTTAATGTAAAAAAAAAAGGGCCATTTCCTCTACTTTCTTAATTTAAATACTGAAAATCTGGAATTCTGTAATAATTATAATATTGGCAAACATTTATTGAGTACCTACTATATATATTATACTAGGCATTGTTCTAGTTTAAGAACTTCATGTATTCATTTATTTAAGCCTCCCACTCAATGAAACAGATGATATTATTCTTCTATTTTACAGATGAAAAAAACTGAGCACAGGGAGATTAGGCATCTCTCCCAAGGTTACCCAATCAATAAATGACAGAATGCTTGCACATCAGGGTTTCCTAAATGTGGCTCATAACAGTGATTGAGTTGAATTTGGAAGGTTTTATGCTCGTTTGTTTAGAATCAGTTAATTAATTTGTTTATTTAACAAATACATTATTGAGTTCCCACTCATTGATAGTGACTCTTCTATGCACTGAAAAAACAGCAATAGACAAGGCAAACAAAATTCCTGCATTCATGAAGCTCCCATTCGGGCAAGTGAGATGTTATGTAACCAAACAAAGAAACAAATGTGTAATAACAAATAGTGATAACTTCAATGAAGAAAAATAAAATAGGGTAAGAGTCATGGCAGGGACAGTGGGAGGAGGCAAGTTGCTATTTTTGATAGTTTGGACAAACCTTTTCAAAGATGTCTGAATCAAGTGCAGGACAAAGCCATAAGTAGATAGTAGAACAGAGTTCCAGGCAGGGGAATAGCAAATACAAAGGCCCTGTGGCAGGAATGAGCTTGATTCTTTCAAGGAACAATAAGAAGATTTGAGAAGAGTGTGCAATGGGAAGTGTGGTAGAAAA